GACTTTCTCTGATCTTCTTGAAACTCTGGATTATGATAGAGGGCCCTGAGAATTAGACCTGAGTGCAAAAATGGAGGCTCTAGACCCTTCCAGAGCTGAAATATCGAAACTCAAAATTTCGACCCGAAAAAAAAACGAAAGGGGTACCACTGTCGTTTTTTTTTTGGGTCGAAATTTTGACTTTCTCTGATCTTCTTGAAACTCTGGATTATGATAGAGGGTCCTGAGAATTAGACCTGAGTGCAAAAATGGAGGCTCTAGACCCTTCCAGAGCTGAGACATCGAAACTCAAAATTTCGACCCGAAAAAAAAACGAAAGGGGTACCACTGTCGTTTTTTTTTCGGGGTCGAAATTTTGACTTTCTCTGATTTTCTTGAAACTCTGGATTATGATAGAGGGCCCTTAGAATTAGACCTGAGTGCAAAAATGGAGGCTCTAGACCCTTCCAGAGCTGAAATATCGAAACTCAAAATTTCGACCCGAAAAAAAACCGAAAGGGGTACCACTGTCGTTTTTTTTTTTGAGTCGAAATTTTGACTTTCTCTGATCTTCTTGAAACTCTGGATTATGATAGAGGGTCCTGAGAATTAGACCTGAGTGCAAAAATGGAGGCTCTAGACCCTTCCAGAGCTGAGATATCGAAACTCAAATTTCGACCCGAAAAAAAAACGAAAGGGGTACCACTGTCGTTTTTTTTTTGGTCGAAATTTTGACCTTCTCTGATCTTCTTGAAACTCTGGATTATGATAGAGGCCCTGAGAATTAGACCTGAGTGCAAAAATGGAGGCTCTAGACCCTTCCAGAGCTGAGATATCGAACCTCAAAATTTCGACCCAAAAAAAAAACGAAAGGGGTACCACTGTCGTTTTTTTTTTCGGGTCAAAATTTTGACTTTCTCTGATCTTCTTGAAACTCTGGATTATGATACAGGGCCCTGAGAATTAGACCTGAGTGCAAAAATGGAGGCTCTAGACCCTTCCAGAGCTGAGATATCGAAACTCAAAATTTAAACCCGAAAAAAAAACGAAAGGGGTACCACTGTCGTTTTTTTTTTTGGGTCGAAATTTTGACCTTCTCTGATCTTCTTGAAACTCTGGATTATGATAGAGGGCCCTGAGAATTAGACCTGAGTGCAAAAATGGAGGCTCTAGACCCTTCCAGAGCTGAAATATCGAAACTCAAAATTTCGCCCCGAAAAAAAAACGAAAGGGGTACCACTGTCGTTTTTTTTTCGGGTCAAAATTTTGAGTTTCTCTGATCCTCTTGAAACTCTGGATTCTGATAGAGGGCCCTGAGAATTAGACCTGAGTGCAAAAATGGAGGCTCTAGACCCTTCCAGAGCTGAGATATCGAAACTCAAAATTTCGACCCGAAAAAAAACCGAAAGGGGTACCACTGTCGTTTTTTTTTTGGGTCGAAATTTTGACCTTCTCTGATCTTCTTGAAACTCTGGATTATGATAGAGGGTCCTGAGAATTAGACCTGAGTGCAAAAATGGAGGCTCTAGACCCTTCCAGAGCTGAGATATCGAAACTCAAAATTTCGACCAGAAAAAAAAACGAAAGGGGTACCACTGTCGTTTTTTTTTTCGGGTCAAAATTTTGACTTTCTCTGATCTTCTTGAAACTCTGGATTATGATAGAGGGCCCTGAGAATTAGACCTGAGTGCAAAAATGGAGGCTCTAGACCCTTCCAGAGCTGAGATATCGAAACTCAAAATTTCGACCCGAAAAAAAACGAAAGGGGTACCACTGTCGTTTTTTTTTTCGAGTCGAAATTTTGACTTTCTCTGATCTTCTTGAAACTCTGGATTATGATAGAGGGCCCTGAGAATTAGACCTGAGTGCAAAAATGGAGGCTCTAGACCCTTCCAGAGCTGAGATATCGAAACTCAAAATTTCGACCCGAAAAAAAAACGAAAGGGGTACCACTGTCGTTTTTTTTGGGTCGAAATTTTGACCTTCTCTGATCTTCTTGAAACTCTGGATTATGATAGAGGGTCCTGAGAATTAGACCTGAGTGCAAAAATGAAGGCTCTAGACCCTTCCAGAGCTGAGATATCGAACCTCAAAATTTCGACCAGAAAAAAAAACGAAAGGGGTACCACTGTCGTTTTTTTTTCGGGTCAAAATTTTGACTTTCTCTGATCTTCTTGAAACTCTGGATTATGATAGAGGGCCCTGAGAATTAGACCTGAGTGCAAAAATGGAGGCTCTAGACCCTTCCAGAGCTGAGATATCGAAACTCAAAATTTCGACCCGAAAAAAAAACGAAAGGGGTACCACTGTCGTTTTTTTTTTGGGTCGAAATTTTGACCTTCTCTGATCTTCTTGAAACTCTGGATTATGATAGAGGGCCCTAAGAATTAGACCTGAGTGCAAAAATGGAGGCTCTAGACCCTTCCAGAGCTGAAATATCGAAACTCAAAATTTCGACCCGAAAAAAAAACGAAAGGGGTACCACTGTCGTTTTTTTTTTTTGAGTCGAAATTTTGACTTTCTCTGATCTTCTTGAAACTCTGGATTATGATAGAGGGTCCTGAGAATTAGACCTGAGTGCAAAAATGGAGGCTCTAGACCCTTCCAGAGCTGAGATATCGAACCTCAAAATTTCGACCAGAAAAAAAACGAAAGGGGTACCACTGTCGTTCTTTTTTTCGGGTCAAAATTTTGACTTTCTCTGATCTTCTTGAAACTCTGGATTATGATAGAGGGCCCTGAAAATTAGACCTGAGTGCAAAAATGGAGGCTCTAGACCCTTCCAGAGCTGAGATATCGAAACTCAAAATTTCGACCCGAAAAAAAAACGAAAGGGGTACCACTGTCGTTTTTTTTTTGGGTCGAAATTTTGACCTTCTCTGATCTTCTTGAAACTCTGGATTATGATAGAGGGTCCTGAGAATTAGACCTGAGTGCAAAAATGGAGGCTCTAGACCCTTCCAGAGCTGAGATATCGAACCTCAAAATTTCGACCAGAAAAAAAAAACGAAAGGGGTACCACTGTCGTTTTTTTTTTCGGGTCAAAATTTTGACTTTCTCTGATCTTCTTGAAACTCTGGATTATGATAGAGGGCCCTGAGAATTAGACCTGAGTGCAAAATGGAGGCTCTAGACCCTTCCAGAGCTGAGATATCGAAACTCAAAATTTCGACCCGAAAAAAAAACGAAAGGGGTACCACTGTCGTTTTTTTTTTGGGTCGAAATTTTGACCTTCTCTGATCTTCTTGAAACTCTGGATTATGATAGAGGGCCCTGAGAATTAGACCTGAGTGCAAAAATGGAGGCTCTAGACCCTTCCAGAGCTGAGATATCGAAACTCAAAATTTAAACCCGAAAAAAAAAACGAAAGGGGTACCACTGTCGTTTTTTTTTTGGGTCGAAATTTTGACCTTCTCTGATCTTCTTGAAACTCTGGATTATGATAGAGGGCCCTGATAATTAGACCTGAGTGCAAAAATGGAGGCTCTAGACCCTTCCAGAGCTGAAATATCGAACCTCAAAATTTCGCCCCGAAAAAAAAACGAAAGGGGTACCACTGTCGTTTTTTTTTCGGGGTCGAAATTTTGACTTTCTCTGATCTTCTTGAAACTCTGGATTATGATAGAGGGCCCTTAGAATTAGACCTGAGTGCAAAAATGGAGGCTCTAGACCCTTCCAGAGCTGAGATGTCGAAACTCAAAATTTCGACCCGAAAAAAAAAACGAAAGGAGTACCACTGTCGTTTTTTTTTTCGGGGTCGAAATTTTGACTTTCTCTGATCTTCTTGAAACTCTGGATTCTGATAGAGGGCCATGAGACTTAGACCTGAGTGCAAAAATGGAGGCTCTAGACCCTTCCAGAGCTGAGATATCGAACCTCAAAATTTCGACCAGAAAAAAAAACGAAAGGGGTACCACTGTCGTTTTTTTTTTGGGTCGAAATTTTGACTTTCTCTGATCTTCTTGAAACTCTGGATTATGATAGAGGGTCCTGAGAATTAGACCTGAGTGCAAAAATGGAGGCTCTAGACCCTTCCAGAGCTGAGATATCGAAACTCAAAATTTCGACCCGAAAAAAAAACGAAAGGGGTACCACTGTCGTTTTTTTTTTCGGGTCAAAATTTTGAGTTTCTCTGATCCTCTTGAAACTCTGGATTCTGATAGAGGGCCATGAGACTTAGACCTGAGTGCAAAAATGGAGGCTCTAGACCCTTCCAGAGCTGAGATATCAAAACTCAAAATTTCGACCCGAAAAAAAAACGAAAGGGTACCACTGTCGTTTTTTTTCGGGTCAAAATTTTGAGTTTCTCTGATCCTCTTGAAACTCTGGATTCTGATAGAGGGCCATGAGACTTAGACCTGAGTGCAAAAATGGAGGCTCTAGACCCTTCCAGAGCTGAGATATCGAAACTCAAAATTTCGACCCGAAAAAAAAACGAAAGGGGTACCACTGTCGTTTTTTTTCGGGTCAAAATTTTGAGTTTCTCTGATCCTCTTGAAACTCTGGATTCTGATAGAGGGCCATGAGACTTAGACCTGAGTGCAAAAATGGAGGCTCTAGACCCTTCCAGAGCTGAGATATCGAAACTCAAAATTTCGACCCGAAAAAAAAAACGAAAGGGGTACCACTGTCGTTTTTTTTTCGGGTCAAAATTTTGAGTTTCTCTGATCCTCTTGAAACTCTGGATTCTGATAGAGGGCCATGAGACTTAGACCTGAGTGCAAAAATGGAGGCTCTAGACCCTTCCAGAGCTGAGATATCGAAACTCAAAATTTCGACCCGAAAAAAAAAACGAAAGGGGTACCACTGTCGTTTTTTTTTCGGGTCAAAATTTTGAGTTTCTCTGATCCTCTTGAAACTCTGGATTCTGATAGAGGGCCATGAGACTTAGACCTGAGTGCAAAAATGGAGTCTCTAGACCCTTCCTGAGCTGAGATATTGAGATCCCACATAGCATTATATAAACCTGAATCAGATCATCAAAAATAGTTACTAAAATTGGTCTCTCTTGTTTTTGGAAGGTGAGGAAAGCCCATCATTTCCTGAGATGTCTTTTCAGAATCCCCCCATTGCACAGACCACAGAAAGTACTGACGGTTATGACGAACAGCATGTAACTACAAACTTCAGTCAAGGTACCTCTTGTGACAATATTCCTTTGCACAGAGAGCTTCCTTTCTGAAATCACATAGCTCTTTTGAACCTGGGTCTTTTGTACAGCAACCTTAAACCTTAAAGTAAGCAGGATCAATTTGAAGGTAAAAAAACAAACAAAAAAACACTGGCACTGACTTTTTTTTTTAAAATTCATCTCAGAAACAGATAATAGTAGTACAACATCAGAGGCATCGTACGTGAATGTACCATCTTTAAAAGAGGAGGACAATTCTGTTGCATCTTCAGATGGTGACTACGCTGAAATTGAAAACTGGTGAAATCAGCATAAGTGCTAGAGATTTTTCTCAGCAGGTAAGGTATAAAAAAAAATGTAGAAAAGCACACATTATTTTTAGTTTTTTATTCTGTGGACAATGTTTTGCATTTAATATTTTGGACAGATGATTCACAACAACGCATCCCTGAAAACCGTGGAACGTAATGCAAATGGGCCCTTGCAATACCTGAGTATTTCTTATTATACTGGAAGAACAGAAAAACAAATCAACATTGCTCATCTAAATTACAATAAACATTCTAAACCATGATCAAGCATCCTATTATTTGTTAATTGTCAAAATGTCTAAAAATGTAGCATGTGTATGTACAATATTTGAACACATTATGTCCTTAAAAAAGTCTATAATATAGTGTAGGATAGTGTATAGACTCACAATTACTTCACACACAAAACAAAAAAACTACACTCAAAGAAGAAAACAGAAGAAAATTCTTTGCTATCCAGCCCTGCAAATTACACAATATATAATTTTTTTTTTGAAAATGGCCTGCATTCTCTTTAGTGAGGAGGGGAGCACACAACACTTGCTGGGGGACACAGATGAGATTACAGAGGGAGAACTGTTGCATACTCAAGTTCCTGCTTTGTGTTTGCCACAAACCCACTTCAGCTGCTGTTGCTCCCTCAGGTCTGAGAGGGACAGGGCCGAGTGCCAGCTACACTGGCAGGCATACGCACGCACACCCTTTCTATTCCTCAGTTTGGCTTTTAGTTTGTTATAATCTGGCATGTTGTTCCTAAAGAAAGGGAAGAGAGCAGAATCTTTGAGGATTTCAATATATTTTTGTGTAGTTGTAGTTCACAAATCTCCAATTTCAACCAGGAGCGCTCAGTTACACAATTCAGCTTATCTTTGGAAATTTATTACTGACTGCAATCAAACTTTTAAGAACTAATATCTTGCATCTGCTTCATCGCTTCAAATTGGGGCTTGGCTGTTTTGAATAAGAGCAAAAAATCTGGAAAGTCGAGTGGTTACCCTAAACTTTTTGTCCAGGTCACATTAACATAATGAAAAATCAAAGCAATATTATATATAAAAATGTAATTAAAACCAAAATTTGTTTTTCTTATTATTATTCATTGCACAAAAAAATGGAAGCTTTTCTGTGACACTAGTGGCACCTAACAGAATTACAAAAATGAAGCATATAGATCTCAAAAATATTGCAATGTTAGAATGCACTATAACGAGAATTAATAAAGCCAAACCAAAAACATTTCAGGCATGGGCAGAATTTATTGGGAATTTCCCCTATACAATATTCAAGGAAGGAGCAGTTGGAATCCTAGATCTGTTCGGTTGAAAAAACCCTGGTTGTGTACATAGTTAATTTGTGTCATACATGTTGACCATGTTCTGTTTTGACGTGTTCATGACCTGTATAATCTTTGAAAGTTCAAATGCAGCGAATTTTAGCTTGCACTTCTGTAACCAAAGCTGAATGTCTTTTCCTGTGCAAGGCCAGCCATGTTCCCCACAGATAAACAAGTGCATGCACGAGTGATGCGGTCTCTCTCCATATAGTTCATTAAAGACGATGTTCAATAGCATACGAAAGCTACAAGTAGCCATGCCCCAAACTCACACTATTGGTTGAGCTGGATAGAGATTGACAGATGTTGTTTTAATGGTTCCTGGGAGGCGCAATGTTTACACTTTTGGGGGAGATAAATCTGTTAACGGCATGCTAATAGTAGTCAATGAATAATAAACTAGATTAAGAGCTTTTCCCACAACAATAAAGCACATTTCCACCTCATATTCTGCATAATTGAAATTCAGTTTTGAAGAGAAATATGACCTTGGCTAGGATTCTTCTAAATACCTGGATATTAAAATAAAGCAACGAACCTGAAAAAATGATCTCTTGATGAGCTCTTATTTTACCTGTTTAAAAAGGGAAGCCTGAAGTTAAAGTTTTTAAAGATTCATTGACTAATTCCATACACATGCTCTCCTAATTAAATATACAAGCTTGAACAGCTCGAAAAAGGAGATCATTAAAACAGAAAGGCCCTTAGAGCTCGACTGTGTCTGAGCACGCAGCAATATGGAAGATAACTACATAAAAGACATGGTGGGAATGATTCACTGTCTGTTTGATGCTAAAGCTGAGAGGCGCTGCAAGACACTGTGCTAAAGATAATAAGGAAATGACGTGTCCGGCGGAAAACAGGGTTTGCACAAAAAAGGTGGTGCGTTGCATTGTTAAACGCTTGTTGAAAAGTATTTCTTTATCAGCCCGTCCAAACATTTCATGAAGCTTATCTGCAAGAGGGTGACATGATGACTTCAACAAAGGCATCATTAACTGACAAGAACAAGGGCTAAGTGAGGCACTCTAAGAATACTTAATCTGCTACAGTGGGCTACGTGGATCAATGCTGCCCCCTGATGAAATTGTTCCCTACTGACATTTTTGCAGCTACCTTACCTGAAAAATAAATAGTTGCAGGATGAGTCCCACTCGTGATCGTCAAACATGAGTACGCTGAAGTCACAAGAGGTACATCTTAATCGGTTGCAGGCCCTTCAAAAACAAGAGTTTTTGTTACAGACTACAGTTAGAATACATTTGATCTGTCATGACTGAATCACTTGGTGTAATTTAATTAATGTGCCACCTTTGAGAAACGCTGGTTCCAATACCATGTATTATAGAGCTTCCACCAAGAAACACAGGGCAACATCTGTTTGAGGGAAAAGTGACAGGAGTTAATAAGTTTTATAACTTGAATCTAGTTATGTTTCACTTTTAAAATGCCCAATTTCTCATGTATAGCTTCTAAATGCGCCTGAAAGCAAAAACTTACTTCATGGACATAGTCTGAGAAAAGGAATCACTTGTGGATGTCTTTCCTGAAATGGGTTCCTGTTCAGATTATAAGAGATTGTTTTCAAATGATTAATGTGCACTGTCAACAACAACTAGCAATATTAATGCTATCCAGTGTTACTTGAAAAAAATAAAAGTATTGCTTTGTTCACTACATCATGTGTGCTGATGGGCTGATAATCATCATCCAGAATTTCCTGCAGTATAGCGTCAATATCATCATTCTCGTGCTCGGCTCTTTTACCGCCTTGTTTTCTGGAAAACATGGGGGGGGAAAAAATCAAACTGTTACAAATATGACTTGGAAGAATCTGGTTTTGTTTAGATGTTTGAGACGATGTTAAGAATGCATAGATCAGATGTTGTTTTGTTAGCCTCATAGCAAACGTTTATTTTTAGCATTTTAGTCCGATTGCTAACATAAAAAATGGTACATCTGCAACGTTATTAAAAGTGTTTGGCTATATTGTATATAGCCAAACCCTTTGCACTATACTTTATTTGGATTAATTTTAGCTACGTTAGCTCGGGTGCTAATCCCGCTAGCTTACCACCTTGACTGTTTCTTGTCCTTGGGATTCACACAATTTTGGTCCGTTTGTTTTGAAACATAACTTGACTGTTTGGACGCCGAGGTGCTACAACAAAACTTTGATTCGACTTCATCAAGTAAATCGTCCAAATCATCCGCCATGATTATTCGGTGGTTCGTTACCATAGAAACGTGTGGCTATCCTCTCAGAAAGACTTCACTGGTTGTATTTTCACAAAATCAAATGTCCTGTAAACATATCCCATTCACGTGTTCTCTAGGAGGACATGACGTTTGTAACTTGCTGGTTGGTGTAAAAATTGTAGACCGCAAAACGAAACGTTGTCGGCAGGATTCGAACCTGCGCGGGGAGACCCCAATGGATTTCTAGTCCATCGCCTTAACCACTCGGCCACGACAACTCATGCTAAAATGCGTGAAAGTGGACGGTCACTGTGTTACAAATCAGAGGAAACCCCTACTGAGATTTGGAAATAAAATGTGGCATGTTGCGTTGTTGAACTAATCAATTGATCTAATCACATGACTTCAACAAAGCATTAACTCATAACTCATATGCTGATAAAGATAAAGGATGCAATAAAAGGCATTCTAAAGATTCCTCATCTACTATGTTGACTACAGAGAGTAGGCGGCATACATAGAATAGATCAATGCTGCCCCCTCCTTGTGAAATGATGTCCAATCCTGATATTTTTGCATAGGTTAACTTAAAATGTTCGTTCATCCCAAAAAGAAAACTCTGTCATTAAAATAAATAATACATTTTCTTTTTGGGGTGAACTGACCTTTAAAGTTAAGCTATAACTAGGTGATTTTATTTGCTTTCAAGTCATTCACCTTCGGAACACGATCGCTGTGGGATACATAGATCAATGCTGCCCTCTCCTGGTGAAATGATGTACCCATATGTTTGCTATTCATTTTCTTTTTGGGGTGAGTGAACCTTTAAAGTTAACATATAACTACGTAATTTTACTCACCTTCAAGTCGTTCATCTACGGAAAACGATCGTTTTGTATGGTTTTTTTTTTTGTATGTGAATATAAGCCGGAACGCAATCTGTTAATCAAGTGATGATCGAGTCTCTTCAGAAAATTTGGAATAAACCGCTCAAATTCATTTGAATTACTTTAACAATCTCTTTATAAACTTTTTGAAGCATCAAAGTCTCAGCTGTGTAGCTGTCAAATGGAGGGACAGAAATTCCCCAGATTTCATCAAAAAGATATTCATTTGTGTTCCCAAGATGAACGAAAGACTTTGGAACTTGGAACGACATGAGAGTTATTGAACTAAATTATCTGAGTGAACTATCCCCTTATGCATGTCTCAGATACAACACTATTTTTTTTTACAGTCTATGTCCCACGGCTGTCGGCGCGCCCGTCTTTATACCACAGTTACGTTAATAAAACTTAAATACTTTAGCTCATCCATGAACATGATTTCTTCCCGAGTACGTTGGATTCCTTTCCGTCAACTGAGGTGGAGACGACAACTCACATGCATGCTCAATCACGGAGTTATCAAGATACGCTTTTGTTTTGAAAAGCATTTGTTTCTGTGGCGGTGAAAATTATTGTGCATTTAACATTATCTCAATGTGGACTTGACGCTTGGTTTGTAACATGAACCATGCTCAACGTTGGTTAGTGTAAGTTTTAAAACGGAAAACGAATCGTTGTCGGCAGGATTCGAACCTGCGCGGGGAGACCCCAATGGATTTCTAGTCCATCGCCTTAACCACTCGGCCACGACAACCTGATGACGAAACGAGATCGGTCACAGTTTTGATCAGGCGGACATTTATGCAAAGGAAAATAAGTACATTATTTATCTTTCAAGCAGATAAATGTAATGTACTTATTTTCCTTTGCATAAATGTCCGCCTGATCAAAACTGTGGCCGATCTCGTTTCGTCATCAGGTTGTCGTGGCCGAGTGGATTGTCTTTAATTATTAAAGACAATTTTAATTTAGAAGAGGGATTTGACACTTGCATGGCTTATGAATTATATAATACATATATTTTTAAATTGTATCATGTTAAAAAGACAATATTTTTAACGGTCAAATAGAATGAATGATATGATAACGTGACACTAAATTATGAATAAAATAATAACTTATTATTAGTTAACGTTACCGTACTAAAGTTATTAGGCTTTTTATTACGGTTTTATTTATACAGCCTATTAATACAGACTCTATATTTTAACATTAACGTTACTCATTATAATCATCATTTATTCTCTACGCTTTGCGATTAATAGCCACCTCGATTTAACGTTATATCACTGTATATCAACCACCATGGCCTCCGAACTCAATAAAAGTGCTACAACAACGAACGTACTGCTTCTCTTTCACGTTATATGTGAAATAAACTGTACTCACCTGAATCAAAATACAAAATCGTGTCGTACTTGCTTCTCTTTCACGTTATGGATCAAAAAACAAAACCGTCTCACGTGTTAGTGATGCTTTTCTCCCGCCGGCGACGGCGTGCTTTGTGACGATAGTCACATGACTATGTTTCGGCCAATGACTGTTTTTCCCCGTCCAGCCAACCGTTGAGTGCGGTTCGGAACAGTCTATGGTTCGGAACTGTTAGGACGCAATTCAAGAATTGTTAGGACGTGTTAGGACTTGTGTTAGGAATTGTTAGGACTTGTGTTAGGACTTGTTAGGACTTGTGTTAGGAATTGTTAGGACTTGTGTTAGGAATTGTTAGGACTTGATTAGATTGTGTTAAGACTTGTAACAAATGGATCGGCCACATTTTCGATCAGACGGACATTTAGGCGGAAAACATGGATCAGCGGTTTCCAATTTTCAGCGGTTTCAGACTATTTTTGCTACTTGTCCCTACCAATATCCAGTGATACCGATTTATTTCTAGCAATATTTAAAATATATTTATATATTGATGTCCCCATCCCCACCAATTTCAAAATCAAAACTACGCCCCTGATATACACATACTATTCAGCAATATTATTAATCTGACTGTACTGACACTATTGGATGAGAACTGAACGAGACAATTCCTAACACAAGTCCTAACAAATGTATGGTTTAGTGACGTCTAAAACCCAGCTGTAGTCCCAATCGAGTCGTTTTTGTAGGCAATATACTTCCTGATTTTTAGATGATATCTCTGCTTACACTAAACTTTCAGCGCTGCAACTTTGCATATACTGTTCATGCACCAACAGCAACATTACACACTATTTAAAATCAAAAAAGTGAAATGGCAATCAACCACCCCCCCCCCTCCTTTAAGAGAACCAACACCAAACTGACCTCATCAGAACAATGACACTTTTTCTTTTCTTTACAGCTAAATTCAACTCTGTTTGCATCACTGATATGGTTATTTTCCTGTTTATTACTGTGAAGCTGCTTTGAAACTTTCTGTTTTGCATAAAACACTATATAAATAAAAGTGAAATGACAATACCCTAGTCTGAAATTAAGAATTCCAAATAACTGAAAAATCTGCAGATTTTATTTCATTATTATGAGATAGTAAAAACATTTGCGGAAGAAAGTCAATAAATTACTGCACAAGACTGGGGGGAAAAAATGTACAAAAACGTGGCTTATTTATGCTGGTCATTCTGAGGGAACAGGTTTGCAAAATTTACTCTGCAGGAACACTCGGGGAACACACAGACCCTCTTTTTTATTCACAGTTTCTCTCAGCACATACTCGTTCACAAGAGTCTCAAATCCTGCCTGTTGGAACAAACCAGCTAAGTACTCTATAAGGAGAACAAATGAAAGAAAAAAGAAACAATACATTAACTTCAATGCAGTAAGACAGATGATCAAAAACAAGCAGTTTACACTGACCTCTTGAGAAGAAAAAGGAACGGGTCCCATCCTGTCTTACATAGAAATTCTGCCCCAGCTTATTGCCTGACTTAAACCTCAACATGGCATGATCGTACAGTCCATAGTCCCTGAAGAGGACAATACCTCCTGGTCTTAATACCTGAAAGTTTGTTTAGGAAGGAGAAATTACTTCAAAAGCAAAGAAACTGAGTTATGCAAAATCACCATCAGTCATAAGTTTACTTATTTTAAATAAAAAGTTGATGCACTGTGATACCTTAAACCACAGATTGACCACACCAGTACCTTAAAAATTTGTTCTAGGGCTTTCTGCATCTTTTCAGGATGAATTGCAGACAGAACAAATATCAATGTGGCTACATCTACTGTTTCCACTTGTATGGTGGCCTGAAGATCATCCTTAGTGAGGTCACACTGAAACGCTAGGCATCGCTCAGTGCAATACAAGGCATTTTGCTGCAATAATAATAAAAAATGATAAATAAAGACTACATACAATATACAACTATCGTATGAATGTGCAACATTCAATGGCAGGAAAAAGTTTGACCAGATGTGGGTTTTAAAGAGTTCACCCAAAAAGTAACATTCAAACCATCCTTGGTGTATATGACTTTCTTTTTCAGCCAAAAGAAATCAGAGTTATATTAATAATATCCTCTTCCAAGCTTTATAATGGGAGTGAATAGTACCTTAGTAAAAAAAAAAAGAATAATAAAATGCATCCTTCAATAATAAAATTAATCCATACGACGCCAGGGGGTTAACAAAGGCCTTCTGTTTTTGTAAGAAAAATATTCATAATTATAACTTTAAAAACTTCTGGTAATGTCTGTTTACATGTTCATGAGAGAATTAGTTGACATATGACGTAGGATGTAGGAGCAGCTAAGGTGAGAGTAGACATCTCTCGCTGTTCAAACAAATAGGGTTGGGCAACAAACTCAAGCTAAATATGCAAATTCTCTAACATTTCTCTTTACAAATTACCGTTTTAGACGTTGAAGGTTCAAATGTGAGACCGTGACTGGTGTTTTAATCTATCCTCTGCGCTTCTGAGTTTGTCAATATGTCATGCGTCGGGTCAGATGTCACTCTTCCGCCAGGAACAATAGTTTATTGTTGTAAAATTATACATATGGAAAAACACATTACTTCACTTCAGAAGGACTTTATTAACCCCCTGGAGCCGTGTGGAGCATTTTTAAGATGGGCGAGTCCGTTTTTTGTGTGCTTTACTGTAAATATCAAGGTACCATTCACTCCCATTATAAAGCTTGAAAGAGCCAGGATATTTTTTAACATTACCTCATATTGCATTTGGCTGAAAAAAAATGTAACCAAAAAAAAAAAATGTCACCTAGGATGACTTACGGCTGAGTAAATTATAGGATAATTTTTACATTTTGGGGTGAACTGACCTTTTACATTGAAAGGAAACAATTCCATCACTTTTACCTTCACAAACTCAACAGCTCGTGGAGAGAAGTCACAGGCATAGATGAAGATACTGAGATCCTCTTCCAGAAGGGGGAAAATACAGTTTCCAACCCCACAGCCAGCCTCCAACAACACCAGCTTCTGTCCTTGAGACTGAAAGAAAAGGGCTACACTCATCCATACGAACTTAAACATGTAGCTACAACAAATGCGTGCAAAATAATTTACCTCTCTGCAGTTTTTCAGTTCATCAAACTCTCTGGTGGTCCAGTGTCTGTCTTTGAAAAAGTTCGTCGTGTTTCTTTTATAAAATAAGTCCCAGTTTTTCTGAGCATCCGTTTCGAGTTTCTGCTGCTTGAAGTCTGAGACTAAGACCCGGTCACTTGTGAGTTTCTCCATCTCTT